GACTCACTCAGTCTATCTTGTTGGGCTTCAGAGGGGTTGAGGGTCAAAGGGGCAAGGCTATGAGATTTCTCTATTAAACAGTTCCACTTGAAGTTGCTTTACATATTATTTTAAGATAGGATATCCCATTAATAGAGAGTGCTAACTAATAAAGAATGGTCTTTGAATGTCTTTGTTCCTCGTTTCCTGGGAGGGAGCCTCTAAATCCCTGAAATTTCCTGAGGGATAGGAGCATCTTTCTTGTTCACTGTGGGCTCCTGATAGTATACCTTAATTTAGGGATACTCAGAATAAGGTCTGGCCACTCCAGAAGGAATAATCTCATGATTACATAGTTAGGGCTTTTGAGTTACATATCAGCCCCACTAGGAAGCAGGAAGGGGACTGGAGGTAGAATTTCAGAAAATGGTTAATCCTACCTTTAATAAGCAAACTCTAATAAAACCTCTGGAAACTGAAGCTCAGTTGAGCTTCCTGGTTGGTGATTTTAGTGGCAGAATGGATCTAGTGATTGGACTTCAGTTCAGCAACCTTGGCACATCTGGTTTTGCTGCTTTTTTGGGCCTGCAGCTGAAACACAGCTGAGTCCTAAATGCCATCTATAGTTGGAATAAAACTCTGTCTCTGTGGTCAGCAGACCCCAGGCTTTGTTCTTAAGATTATTTGATGTGGGCCAGAACCTCACTGTCCTGAGGACATAATGCCTAAGGGAGTGCTTGTGCAAAGGCTTGAATGAGAGTCATGTGAGGCTATTCTCTGGCCTCTTTAATCCTTCTCTAAGGGCAGCCAGCGGTTTGTGTGTGTGTGTGTGTGGGGGGGGGGGGGGAGGGGGGTTCTACTCTTCCTGAACAGCAAGTGAGGTGCTGCAGTCCACTGCCACCCTCTAGGCAAAATTTGGAGGTAGAGATTTATTAAAAAAACAAGGAGTCTTTATTCAAAAGCTACACAGTTTAGGAGTAAGGCTTTCCACATGCATTAGTCACTTATGCCTATCAACTAAGGCTGAAATCTTTAGCCAATGAGGTAAGGGTAGAATCTTTAACTCTGGAGTTCCCCTATCATTCCCCTTGTTAGTTTTTAATTACCTTATTTATGTAAGATTAGTTTACAAACTAAAGCAACACAATATACAAAAGCTACAGAATTTGGGGAGAATGGCAGGCTTCTGCCTCAGAGCCTGTCCCCTCTAGGACCTCAGAGCCTGTCCCCTCTAGGTTATTTACCCAAAGGAAAATAACCCTGCCACCCTTTGCCAGGCCAGAACAATCCTAGGCTGGGCCCAGAGTTCCTTCTCCCATTTAAAATACTGTCCTAAGTGAAATAAGCCAATTAAAGACAAATACCATATGCTTTCATTCATGTGGAATCCAGTGAACACACTGAACTAACAAGGAAAATGGGGACAGACTCACAGATCGAGACAAGGCAGCTAGTGGAAGAGAAGTGAGAGGGTAGAGGGATTGAGCAAAAAGGAAAAAGAACTCATGGGCATGGACAGCAGTGTGGTGATTACTTGGGGGGAGGGGAGTATAGGGTTCTAAATGGTAATGGAGAAAGTACAATAGAGATTAAATAAAAAATAAAATAGTTGACAGACTTGACTATAAAAAGACATTTTCTGAGTCCTTTTGGAACAGGGTTTTTCGTTGGTCCTTTGCTCTCCTATTTTGATTTTTTTATATTAGGATGAAGTGTAAGAAATACAGTAAAAATAGATAATGGCCAAGAAAATATAACTCAGATGTTAAAGTGCTGGTAAATGCTTATCAAAACTCTTTCAGTTGTGTACATAAATGGGGGTAGGAGAACTTGAGCCCCAAGAACTGGCTAACCACCTCCTTTCTTCCTCCTTTTCTTCCTTAGTATGATTCTTTTTACTTTTAGCTTTAGTTAGATAGCTGCTACTACTACAGTATCATAGTAAAAATTTCAATAATAAAGGTGAAAAGAGTATTCTCTGAGCTACTAAATCCCACTTTTCTCTGGAAAAAAAAAACAAACATCCTTTGAGAAACACAGACAGCTACAGCATGATCATCCAGGCATTCTCGAGAAAAAGAGAAAGAGCCAGTCACTGTCTTCTTTCTGTTTAAATCTTCCTGCCCATAACTCCATGCACACTGGAGGCGTTCAGCCTCTTGGCCAATCTCATCCTAGACTGTTTACTGTTAGGGCGGTCAGCGATATGGACTTTGAAAGAATTCATAAAGAGGAGAAAATGCAGAGAGCAAAGTTTTTTCTTTTACTTGCCCAAGAGAAGGAGAGGCATAGGTGTGGAAATATGTACCAGCATTGAAGGATGGGGGCTTTGAGCTTTTACTGGATTATAATTGGACTATATATAAAAAGGTGGAGGGGTTTCTGATGTGTGACCTCTGGGCTTTTGGAGCATTGTAACACAGGAGGTTTTTGGGTAGTTTTGAATTTCAGGTAGGTTTTTCACATTTGAATATGATATGCTTAGGTGTTGTTATTTGGACATTTATTATGCTTGGTATCCTCAGAGTTTCCCAGACCTGTGGTTTGGTGTCGGACATTAATTTGGTGAAGTTCTTAGTCAGTATTGTTTTAAATATTTCTTTTGATTTTTCTTTATTCTTTGGTATTCCAGTTATGTATATAATGCACTTTTTGTAGTTTCCCACAGTTCTTGGATAATCTGTTCAATTTTTTTCAGTCATTTTTTGTCTTTGCTTTTTAGTTTTGGACATTTCTGTTGACATATCCTCAAGCTTAGAGATTCTGTTCTCAGTCACGTTCAGTCTACTATAGAGTTTATCAGTGGCATTCTTCATTTTTTAGTATTTTTGATCGCTAGTATTTCTCTTTGATTCTTTTTTAAAATTTCCATCTCTGTTTACATTGCCTTTTTGTTCTTTCACAATGTGTCCTTTTTTCATTAGAATTCTTACTATGTTATCATAGTTTTAAAAATTCCCTGTTTGATAATTCCATCCTCCCTTCCATGTCTGAGTCTGGTTCTGACGCTTGCTCATTCTCTTTAGACTTTTTTTACCTTAAACAGGTGCCTTGCTGAAAGTTAGCCATGATGTATTAGATAAACAGAACACCAGTCTTTAGTGTCTGATGGCAAAACATCACTGGGGAAGGATTCTGGATTCCTGTGATTACGTCTTAGACTCCCAGTGAACCTCTGCCACTGGAGTGTGAATTACTCACGTGTACATCAGTATCTCCTGCACCTCTTAGCTGGAACAGGGTGACCAGGGTGGTTTGGAGATAACTATTTCACTTACCTAGATGTGTTAATCTCTGGTAAAATCCTAGTTGGTTGGGGGCTGGTAAATAGTTGTTCTTGAGACTAGTGGGCCTTGTTAAGAAGAAAATGCTCTGGTATCTCCCAAAATGGTTCCTGTTCTTCACCCCTCTGCTGGGAAAGCAAGGAAACTTTTCTCCTACAAAAGTGTGGACATCCCTGTGGCTGGACCCCTCTAGAATTTTGATTCTCAGACTTGTACACACATAGCTTCCAGGAATTTATAATGCTTTTTAAAAATTGATTTGAGAGACAGACAGGCAGACATCAATTTGTTGTTCCTTCATCCATGTATTCTTTGGTTGATTCTTGTATGTTCCCTGACAGGTGATTAAACCCACAACCTTGGGTTGTAGCAAGATGATGCTCTAACCAACTGAGCTATCCAACCAGGGCAGTTCATTACAGTTTAAATTTTCATGTCCTCACCCTGGTTTCTGATGATGTTTCTGCTTTAAGTTGTGATTCTGTGTATTTACCTGTCTGTGTTTCTAATTTTGGGGCAGCAGTTTGCCCTGTGACCTCACTTCTAAGGGATCTGAGAAAAGTTGTCAATTTTTCACTTTTTTGGTGTTTTACTTGTTAGAATGGAGTGATGATTTCTAAGCACCTTACATGCTGGTTTGGAAACTGGAAGTAATTTATTATTTTTCATGCCTATGTCTCAATGAAGTCTGATGTCTTCTTGTCTAGAGAAACTTTGCTTTAACCTCCAGAAAGCAAATCTTCACTTACTTTCTTAGGTGGAGGTGAGATGGTTGCAAGAGCCCGTGAATAAGGAAGATGGAGCCTACGTACATTTCAAACAACATTCACCCAGTCCACCTAACTTTGGGGCTTCTTTAGTCTTCACTCTCAATTGCAGACTTCCCAGTACTTGAATTTTCTGAGAATTCAGAAGTGTGAAAAAGGCTGGTGCTTCTTGGGTCTTCTGAGTATTGTTGCTGTTGTTGCTTCTAATGTTATCCCTCTCTTTATATCTTTAATTTCTCAAGTTTTTAATTAAGGACATGTTTAGTTAAAGCTTGTTTTTCTTTTGTTCACTGCCCTGTTGTCAGAACCCAGAACCAAAACTAGATAATTAATTTAATTATCTGAAATGTTTTATAGAGATCTATACCTAGTCACGTTCCTTCACTGGCAAGTAAAGCTAAGAATTATTTGATAATGAAACTATTTCTTATGTTTGTCTTTTTATGTGCAGAAAGAGATAGACCTGTATATAATATATTTTTAAAGATTGTATTTGTTTATTTTTAGAGAGAGGGGAAGGGAAGGAGAAAGAGAGGGAGAGAAACATCAATGTGTGGTTGCCTCTCTCACATGCCCCCATTGGGGACCTGGCTCACCACCCAGGCATGTGCCCTGACTGGGAATTGAACCACCGACACTTTGGTTCACAGCCCACGCTCAGTCCACTGAGCTACACCAGCCAGGGCTCTATATAGTATTTTTAATAAAGAATAACCAATGGCTTATTTTTTATAATAAGTAACAAGCAACTGAAATGTGAATGGGAGAAATAAATATGGTAGGTAATAAAAGGGTCCCTCTTTCCTTTTAAGGGTGGACTTGAACATTTTTTTAATCGGACTGCAGGCAGTTATTGTAATTTGTTGTTGTGTCTTGATTATACTGCAATTTGATGATTTGAATCAGATCATTTACCTCTTACCAATTTCGAAAAAGTAATATTTCTGCAATTTCTTTTTATAATGTACAGAGAAAGCAACCAGTGAGATGAATACTGCTGAAGATTGGGGCCTCATTTTGGATATTTGTGATAAAGTCGGTCAGTCTCGCACTGGGTAAGTGTTGCAGAGTTTCAAAGGATTTTTATTCATTTTTCCTTTTTATTAATGTGACTAAAACAAGAGTCAGAAGGTAGAATATGCTACAGTTATAACATTTATTTTTGTGTTTTATCTTCACCTGAGAGCATTTTTTTTTCATTGCTTTTAGAGAGAGAGTTGTGGGGGAGAAACATCAATGGGAGACCAACATTGATTGGTTGCCTTCCCTACACGCCTGGACTGGTGATCTTTTGCATCCTGACCGGGAGTCAAACACACAACCTTTGGGTTACAGGACGATGCTCTAACCAACTGAGCCACACTGGCCAGGGACAATTATAATTTATTTTGAAAGAGAATGTTTTTCCTAGAAAAATTTGAAGAATCCTATTTAGGTTACTTCTTACAACCACTTAGGGTAGCATGACTAATAAAAATGTCACCACTTTAATCTCTTTCCTTCTGAAATCTAGCCTTTTCCTCTTAATAAAGCCATCGAGGATTTCTCAGTTACAAAGTATGGCAGTCATTTCTGAGTTTTTCTTTGTCACATCTGCAACATTCTACCAAACTGATCTGTGATTACTGAAAGAGGCACTTGAGGGAAGTAGAATATTAAAATTTTTGGCATATGGGGTTTTGGAAAATACAGAGCTTTCTAAACAGTTCAGTGAATCAGTTGGCTGGTAGAGAGATTAAGGATTTCCCTAATTCCTAGGAAAATAGCTAGTAATGCCCAGCTCTTAGCAGCCTTCTTTATGCCCTTATGCCCCACACAGGTTGTCTTATTCATGTACTTTCATGTGGAAAATGTTAGGGAGCACAGCTGCATTATACTTGGTTCTTCTGGTGGTGGTCTTAACCTCTGATAGACCTTCTTTGGCTGTTCGTTGTTCCTTCTGAATATAGATAGTTTCTTAGACTTTTCTTCATCCATTTTTCCCTTCATACTTTTTTCTTTTCGTATATCTTTTCTTTTGAAATCTGAGAACTTCTAGGTATTTTTATGTGAGTAAGATATGTATTTTCAGCTCTGCCTTTTCTTACCCAAGCATTAGTCCTGTGGATATAGCATTATTTCTGGATAACCATACTGTATAAGCCTTAATCTCCATCTCTAAAGTGGAACTCCTGTCTGTTTTATCTTTAAACCTGCTTTCCCTCCATTGTCCCCTGTTTCTGTTAATGAAAAGATTATTCTTTCATTTGCACTTAAAACCTCAGTCACTGCTACATTTATTTTGTTACCAAATTCTGTCAATCTGCTTCCATAATACCATTTAGAATGTTGACGCTATAAAGTCTCTTAAGTTATGGCCAAACCAGGTTGGAGCAGTTTGTCTTTGGGTCCTTTCTACCCTTTCACGTAAGCCGTTTTTGCCCCTAGTGTTCTCCTGTGTTAGGTTCCCAAAAATATGGCCTCCAAATGTCGCCTTATCTGTCCCTTTTGTTGTCTTTATACTGTGATACACTAAGTCTTGTTCTTCTGATCTTGTTAGTTCCTTAATATAATCAGAATTTGAGTAGTTACTGTGTACTACATATCTATTCCTTTTTCTGTGTTTCTGTTGTCCCCAACCCCTTTTACTTGAAATATTCATTACCATGCATGGATTTGTGAATTCACCTTCTGTCATTTCTTTCTACTTCATGTCTTATATCCAGTTGCCATTCAAAAACTGTGACCATGTTACTTTCCTTCCTTCTGTACTTAATTGTCTATCTCCCCTAGGCCTCTGAATCATTTCTTTTCCATTTATTTCTCATTCTTTTCAGCTCAAGCATTTGAGTTGTTAGTGCTTTTTTACCTTAATTTAGTGCTGCTGGTCATTCTGTTCATTCAGTATGGAATATTTTCTTCTATAATTTATTATCTGCCTCATTTCTTCTCAGTCCCAATATAGATATTATTTCTTCCAAAAAGCCTTTCCTTATCCCCTTTGCTGAAAATCATACAGTCCTCTGAATCCTTAAAGCACTATACCAATACTATTCTTACTTGTTTTGTCTTTTATAATAGTAATTTATATTTATTTGGTAGACTTGGAGTTGTAGAGTAAAAGGTCCATGAATTTTTGTCGTACAGAGGAAATAAGCAAGTAGCTTAGTGGTTGAGAGGATAGACTGTGGAGTGAGACTGCCTGGGTTCAAATCCTAGCTGTTACCCCCTAACTACTTACATTGGGGGAGTAACTTGCCTCTCCAGTTTGCTACATAATGAAAATAGTATCTTCTTCATAAGGGGCTTGGTGTGAGTAGTGCCTGGCACGTGGTTAAATGGGTGCGTGCACCTCTGCCTCTTTTTGATTAAAGTCATGTTTTGTGACAGTTTGTCGAGGAGTGAGTATAGACTAGCCCCACCCCTGTGAATTTGAGAGATAAAACTTTTATCTAACATTTCAGTTGCAAAGTTCCTCCTCTCTTTTTTTAGTCTTTATTTTGGTGTTCTTCATTTTGCAGATGACTTTTCTGATAATTTGGTTAGTTAATTGACATAAAAAGACAAAACTGCCTTTCATTACTAGAAATAGTCCATATTTTTCTAGTTAAAAATAAATTTGTAATTCATCTAAAATCTGTGTGATATGTAGTGATGATGAAGAGATCAATTTGTTTCTCTTCATGTTAACATTATTATTATAGTGGAAACATTTGTTTTTGCCCCTAGTTTTTCTTGTGATGAGAACTTTTAAGATCTACACTCTTAGCAACTTTCAGGTATACAATAAAGTATTGTAACTGTAGTCACCATGCCATACATTACATCCTCGGGACTTACTTATCTTGTAATTAGAAGTTTGTACCTTTTGACCACATTCACCCATTCTGTCCCCTGCACCCCAAGCTGTTCTCTGTTTCTATGAGTTGTTTTGTATTCCACATAATCAGTGAGATCTTAACAATATTTGTTTTTTGTTGATTCATTTCACATAGTATCAGTGCCCTCAAGGTTCATATGGGGTCATGTTGACCCCATATATTTAAGATGTAGTAATTTATAGTTTTGAAAATTGTTTTTATTTGTCTTTTTTAAAAAATCCAATATCCATAGGTTTAGATACATGCTCATTTTTTATTTTTTTGAATTCAGCCAACATACTTTCAGTATATTTCTTAATATTTCGGTCATCCTTTAGGGATTTTAATTGACATTATGCTAAATCTATAAATTTACCTAGGATGTGTTTTCAACTTTGCTAATTTAAATAATGAGGGGTGGTTTTATTTGTTTTTTTAATCAATATTATTTCCCCTTCCTCTTCTCTTTGTTTTTTTTTCCTTCTACTTCTTCCCCCCCTCTTGCCAATATGGCTCCCTAGTTCCTTTAAATTTTTATTAAATTAATTTCTAAGCATTTATTTATTTGTATAAATGTAATTATTTCTTTATAACATTTGTTGATAAAGAATTGTTTGAAAAGGATTAAATAATTTATATCATTCTAATATTGAAGTTTTTTTTTAAATGTCAAACATTCAATATTTATTCTTGTGTATGATTTCTTTTCAAAAATGTTTTACATTAGCATCAGGACCACATTATGATTCTCACAGACACTTGGTACCTTTGACTTTCTGAATTCCTTTCTTTATAAAAAAATATATTTTATAATTGCATTGTTGTAAAGACAAATATATTATACACTAAAACATTTTTTGTGGGCCCCTAAAATAATTGTGAGTCCTAGGCATTGTGCCTACGTGCCTAAGGATAGGATTACGGAATTGAATTATGTATTATCAGGTCAACTTAATAATAGAAAATTATTAAGGTTCTTTCTAGGTGAGCAGTCAAACTATGGAATACATATGGAGGAGTTCCTAATATGTCATTTATGTGTTGGTTGGTTGATGGATTGAAGACTGATTGATTTGAGAGAGAGAGAGCAATGTAAGCAAGAAACATGGATTGGTTGCCTCTCATACTCGCCCTGACTGGGGATTGAACCTGAAACCTAGGTATGTACCCTGACCGGGGATCAAACTTGCAACCTTTTGGTGCATGGGAGGATGCTCCAACCTACTGAGCCACCCAGCAAGAGCCATCTCTAGAACTTTTGATCATCCCCAACTGAATCTCTCTACATATTAAACAACTGTCCATTCTACCCTCCCCCAGTGCCTGAAAAACACTTAAAATTTGTTTTTAATCTTTAAATCATTTTATACTTAGTGTATATGGAAAATTTAATGGAGATCTATCTAGTTTATCTGGGAACCTAGATACATATGTTTAGATATGGGTTGCTGATGATAGCATAAAAATATTGAACAATATTAGGGGTTGTCAGTGGGGTATTCTAGGTACCTGGTATGCTTTAGAGAAGACTGAGACATGTTATTGGTGTGAGAGAGGAAAATGGAACATGAATTTTCATGAGACAGATTTAGACAGGGTAGGTTAATGTAGAGAGAAGTTAGGCATTAGAATGCAGTTTGTGAGGTTATTTTTATACTAAGTAAAATCTAGATTTTTTTAAAAAGTATTACCATTTTGGTGTTAATCTGTAATTTTGTTAAATGTACAAATCTATTTAAGAGGGCTGATTGAGGGTTGGGGAAGGGAATGTTAGGAAAAACATTTCTCTTTCAGTAAGGTATTTTTTTTTATTTAAAATGATTTGTAACCAGCAATATATTATTTAATGCATAAATAAAATAATTTATATTAGATCTTCCTTAAGGAGATCATTTGTTTTTCTTTTTTTTTTTTTTTGTTACAATCACTTATTTTAGAGTTCTGGTCATTTGGAAAATATTCTTAAGTTTTAAAAGGAAAGAAAGAGTCATTATTGTGAAATTTTCTTTAGTCAGAACTATGACCCAGAAACATGACTCCCAATAGTGATTTGAAAATCCCCCCTTAATTCTTCCTCTTTTTTGAAAAGCTTACTGCTCTGTTCTTTAAATCGCACATGTATATGTGTGTGTCTTTGCTGATTTAAGAAATACAATAATATTTTTATGTAACAAAAATGTACTTTTTTATTTTAAAAGTAGATACATATTCACATG